TCCACCGCGCTGCCAGCGTGCTGTAAATGTAACAAAACTGAGAGCTCTGACAGGAGGTTAGAACTGCATGCAACCTGCACGTGATGATTTAGCGCCGAAAGCATAACTACACAAATCATTTACTATCTATTGTCAGTAATTAATTATAAATCGATTACAATATATGAATTTTATACTATTATATTATTACTAATAAACTGAAGATATTATATTTTATACTCTTATTAAAATAAAAGAAACTAAATATTAGTGTTGTATTATATACGATATAGAGTATCCATAGGATATTCAATGGATGTCCAAATTGGACATCCGTTAAATATCCATGGGCATACATTTATACATTTGATATTCATATTATGTCCATGGACATATGGACATGAAAGGGACATAAAATGAACGTCCATAAGATATTTGTGCTATTTGGGATATGTTGAAGACGTCTTATGTTTTGACGCCCTGAAGACGATTTAAAGATGTTTTATGTTCCGATTTTGGATATTGTGTTGTGTGGGTATTCTGTAATATTCTATAGTAAGTATATATAATATTATAAAAATATAATTGTTACATAAATATATAATAAATGTTTTATATAAAAAATGCATTATGTGTAATTTAAAATTAACTAGTAAAATATACAACATAAAAACATTTTAAAGCAAAATAAAGAACAAATATTACGTAATAACATTATACAAGGTATCTGGTAACTCACCAAGTAGCCGCCGTGTACAGATAGATTAGATCAAACTGAACAGAAAATTGTTGTACTATTTTGCGAACAACCACGTAAAAAATTTTGAGTTATTCGTCAAAGAAGATTCATTAATGATCACGCACCATACGGTAGATAAACTGCAATAGCGACGTCTACTGTGTGTTTGTGTATTAGACTGAAAACATCCTCTATTTCGCAAATAATCTCGTAGATTTTTAGTTATTAATTAGAAAAAATTGATGCATTATTATTCACAGTTATACATCAATCTTTTATAATTTATAACTAAAAATCTACGTGATTATATGCGAAATAATAAAGGATATTTTTATTCACTTTAGTCTAATATACAAGCATGGTGGCAGACGTCGCTGTTACAGCTCATCTTACCTATGGAGTCTGATTAACGAATCTTCTTTGATTAATAACTGTAAGTTGTACGTGGTTGTATGCAAAATGGTAAAGAGATGTTTGTTCAATTTAAATGAAATTAAGTCTACCTGTACACAGTGATTGTTTAGTGAGTTACCGGACACCTTGTGTACTATACTGTTCTGATACCTTCTTTACAGTTTTCGGAATTATCACTCAAAGAAGGCACTGTAGAATCATCACTGGAGTTATTAAGATCTTTAACTTCCTGCATTATTGCATTACATATTGCGACTGAGTTTTCATCATCCGTAACCATATATGGTTTTTCCTGAAGTTTATTAAGTCTTTCTGAGGCCTGTTCATATGAACCTGCATATATGTATAAAATAAATAAAAAGTCTGGTATATTTCTACTTTAAAATAATAAATAATTATAATTTTATTTACTTACTTGCATGACCAACAACAACAACGGAATATTCTGTCCATTGATGGTTAGGTTCTTGCAAATTTGCAACTTTAAAATGTAAATCTCTAATTTTACTGAACGTATATGGAGAAGAAGGAAAAGGAGTAACACATATATTTAATTTTTTATCGTAACGTAGCCAACTTTTGGACACAACATCTATTTCTGCTAATACATCTTCCTGTTTACATTTATTTATAAATTTTACTAAGATGTAATTTCGAGTTTTATTTCCATTTTTAAAATCCATTTTATAAGTAAATACAAAATATGTTTAATAAGTAATAAGAAAAATTAATATAAACATTGTATAACATTTATAAGTGTAATTGAAAGTTAAATTAGAATTATTGTTTTATTAGTATTATTTAGAAATCGCTAAATTTATAATCTTACAAAAAAACTGAATGGCCAATTAAGAGCCAAGTAGATGCCATAGCTTGCCGGAACTCGATCTGTGCCAAAATAAAATTTCGCTTGTGCGTCACATTTCGTTGTTATAATATGACAAAATACGTACAAACACGTACAAATAGCCCTTTTTTGCAACTTTAACTGCAAATTTCTCAAAATTATGACCTGATAGGACAATTTAGAAAACGGATTTATATTCTGCGTTTAAAAAAGTATAGAAAACGACTCATGTTACTTCAGTGTTTTTTTCCTTATCCAATAATGTAATAAGTTTTCTACTGTTCGAGAGCCTTTGTTTTCTGTGTCCTTTCCGAAGCCTCATAATGCGAGTTCTCGTGATAAACACGTGAAAAATTCGTAGTCAATGTCAAAACGGATTCTTCCTAAGAAACGTATATATAGAAAAACAATGTTCTATAAATATTCCGAAAAGAAATGCCCAAATAAAGCAAAAAATTCTCCTTGTCAAAGTTTAACTGTTAAGAGTGAAATATTCATATATATAACATGTAAACATGTACCTTTTTCTTATAACTTAGAGAATCGAGCTTTTGAAAGAACTATTTGCCACATTCACCAGAAGTTTCCAGTTTATTTTAATTTCTATTAGAACTGGGCACATTTTTTGTGTTAAGATTAGATTATTCCTCTACATTTAAAAGAATAATTTGCCATTAGTAATCTCTGTGAAAAATGTATAAAAGAAAATTATCTACACTTCGTGTCCATAAGCATAGAGTAAGAAGAAAATGCTTAAGAAGCATTTGAAGAAGAAAATAATGGCAAAGCAGGTAAAGAATTTTCACATTTCATGTTACATTTTTACTTTTCTTAAAAAATTAAAATAACAACTAGAATGTTATTAAGTAAAATTAAGTGAATATAATAACCATTAATATTATTATCATTCATTATGTCGCGGATCCGACGGGTTAGTTCCCGTCGGGCAGCGATCGAGAGCGCTGATTTCGCCCAGCGCAAGGCGCGGTGAGGTAAGGTGAGCTAAAAGAAGAAACTGAGACTTGTTGAGACGAACACTGTTTGATTTATTACAACTAAGCATAGAGTCACTCTAGAGAGAAGTTCGACGGTCATGAAGGTCGGAACGGAAATTTTCTGTGTGCCGACGGCCGGGTCAGCCGATTACGACGGAGATCTTGTCGAGCGCTTAACCGACGCTCCGCGGACGGAAATCTTGAGTGCGAGCGACGGATATCTTCCGCGTCCCTGGCACGCGCTTCCGCGTCCCGTCGAACCCACGCAATCTCGAGCACTTTCAATAAAAAAGAGAATACAAAGATTTACACGGTGAAGAGATCCGTAACGAACTTAAAGCACTAACACAGTGTTGTTTACGAGACAGCGACAATTCACGTCACATCACTGTCCCGTTTGTCGTATGCCACGATCGCGGAGGCAGCGGAGGCAAAGTGAAATGATGCACGGTGCGAAGGGCAAGCGGCAGGCGAGCTCCGCCATCTTGCGCCAGTGCTGGCAGTTCGCGATATTTTCTATATAGACAGAAGCCCTTGTGCGCACGCGTGAAGTGACGTAGCAGCTCGACGTAAGCAGTTTCCAATGACGGCGTTAGGCACGAATAGGGGGTTCTTAAGGGACATGCAGAAAATACTCGGCCGTCTGTCTGTGTTGTTTGCCTGGGAGTGGTTAGATTAGATAGGTAGTGAAATGACATAATAATAAATTAGTATAATTAATATAGTTATAATAATTAGTATAGCTATGTAAAATGTGATAATAAGTATATATAGTATATATTAATAAATAAAATGTGATAAAAAGTGCAATTTTAATATAAAGTGATATTGTGATATAAAGTGATATAAAGTGATATTGTGATAAAGAAAAGTGCAATTATAATATTAAGTTAATTAAAGAAAAAAATGCCATATTAAAGAAAGAAATGGATCAACAACAGCCTTCGTCATCAAGTGGCATCGAGAAAAAGAAGAGGAAATGTGTGAGAAATAAATTTCAATATGAATGGTTAAGTATGAATATTTTCAAAGATTGGTTGGCATCGCATGAAAACGATGAAAAAGCTCTCTGCACAGCTTGTAATAAGATATTAATATGCGGAAAATCAAATTTAATTTCACATTCTAAAACAGGAAAACATGTAGAAAATATGAAGAGTCGTAATATCACTCTATCTGTTTTATTGCCTGTTAAACATAATAATATTTACGTGGACCATGTTACTAAAGTAAAAATAGCGGAGATAAAATTAGCTGCCTTTTATGCAACACATAATATAGCTTTTGAAGTAGTTAATGACATGGTTCCTTTGCTAAAAAATATTTTTACAGATTCACAGATAGCTAAAGATCTAACATTGTCACGGACAAAGTGTAGGCAAATTATTACAAATATTTTGGCTAAACACGAAAGTGAGAAACTTATTAATAATTTATTAAATAATAAATTTTCCATTTTACTAGATGAAAGTACAAGTATTACAAATGATAAAATGCTTTGCATTTTAGTTAAATATTTTTCTATAGAAAATAAAACAGTTATTACACAGTTATTAGAATTAGTTTCTTTAGATGCAACAGATTGTTCCGCAGAAAAATTATATTCTGCGTTTGAACAGTGTTTTAAAAGTAAGAGGATACCAATGTCGAATATTGTAGGAATGGCTTCTGATAATGCTTCAGTTATGATAGGTGATAATAATTCTTTCAAGAGTAGATTAAAGAAAGAGGTACCGGCCCTCATTGTATTAAAGTGTATATGCCATTCCTCAGCTCTTATTGCAAGTAAAGCTTGTGCAAAATTGCCGGATTCTTGTGAAAATCTTTTACATGCAGTTGCTACATATTTTTCTGGCAGTGCTAAAAG